GTTTAAATATGCTACTCCATAAAAATATGGCTTCTTTCTCCCTATACTCCAAGAGTTAATTACAGCTTGGTTGGACAAGAAAATATGATCATTGTAACATAGTTGTGTGCACCATAATCCATAAAAATGATCACAATTATTACTGGAGAAAATGACATTGGATAGTCATAGATATGGACCCCAACATAGCTCCCTTTTTTTTATATCTCTTTTCTTCATGCATCTATAGTATTAGGATCTCAGGGCAGAAGACATTCTGTACTAGGATATATGGCGAACTACTCTATTCATGGTGATCAAAGATCATAATAATGAAATGGCTTCCAACAATAAAGAGTGAAAGATTTAATGTTTACCATGTTGTGATACACACTCGATGAACAGAGCTAGCAGCAACTAGAGCAACTGCCTCTGCAAGTATAACTACATAGACAAGAAAGAAAGAAAAAAATAATAATTTCAACAGTTAAGTATAGCAAATATGCTAAAAAAGAAGTTGAAGAGAATGCACTTACCCGAACCCCATCCACTCTTGATTCCATTTGTCTCTTGATAATTTCCTATGAACTGTGAACATAATACCCAATTTGAGCTAAGAAGTAGCCAATAATAATTGTACATGATTGGAAATGCTAGAAACTTGTATAAGCATCACATATACATCCAAACCAAACATACTAGATATATGCATATATGTACCGTCAAACATTAAATACAAATAGCAATTTGTATTTAAGATATGTAGATGCATTCCTTTATGCGTTTTAAGTCCGAAACCAACATTGAGAAACATAGTCCAAGTTGGTTAAATTGATTTACACTACTCATCAGGAGAACAGCAATGAATGATGATTCTATAAATTTGATGAAAAAAAAAAAAAAAAAAAAACACTGCAAGTAATATTTGAAATTTTAAATAATTCTGTAATCTGCATTAGTTGATGAAGAAACCAAAGCAAAATAGTACATACATCTTTCACATTATACACAAATTGAACATAGTTAAAAAGTGCATACATACACATAAAAATAGAAAAAATAAACTTATAGATACAAACAGACAAATACACATAATAGCCAGCAACTACAATCTAATCTCCAAGTTACAAGCTGAACTACATGCAATGATTTAAAATGCTCTCAATCGGACAAGCAAAAGTCAGGAATCGTAAAAAAGAACAAGAATCAGTAAAGACTACAATGGCCATTTATAGTCAAATAAGTACACAAGCATGTTCCATCTAATAATGGGATGTAAAAACAATTTACTGAATGCTAATAAGCACAATAAACAAATATGTTTCCAAATGCTGCTACTTAATACTGTTCCTCACTTTCTCAAAACAGGAGCAATGTCTCTGGAGTGAATGCAATTTTTAATTATGTCAAATGAAGGGAATTGTTTACTTTTCTTCATTTGATAGTGTTGTTAGTACAATGCAGCTTTGGAAACACAAAAGATAAGAGGGCGAATTTTTACCGTTAGCAAAGTAAGAAATATTAAAGAACTGGTGAAGCCTCCAAGGATGGTAAATAACTCAGAAGAGGCTAACTTTCCTCTATACATTTCTTGCAGGGAAAGAGTGGTGACAAAGAGAAGAAATGAGTATAACATAGAACTACCAGGCGCTGCCATTGATTTCAGCTGGCATGAACAAAATGAACTCATTAGATTAACATTCAAAACGAGATCAGATAGGAAAGAATGTGGCAATTCAGTTCCAATAGCGTTCAAGTTCACAAAGCCAAATAACAAATTCGTACGCACAATTCAATATGGGTAAACCGTAAACGAGTATAGTTAGTTCTAATAAGGAAACATCAAAACATTCGTTTAATACATGGGAAGATACATATGAATTCTCGAATCAAGACCAAAGAAAACATAATTTCCCAGTGTATAGTTCTGAAAAGCTGAAAATTGATTTCTTGTACGAGAACCCCAGATCGCAACGTTGGAAGATTCGTTTAGCATAGATCTCGTTTTCAGATGGAAATGTGTGTATGCGATCTTGAAGCGAGAATGGACAATCCTACGAATTGATAAGGAAGAGAAGCGTACCTCGTAACTTCGGTCGGAAAAGCTTGAGGTCGAGGGAGATGGAAGACTTGGCCCGAAGTCACAGAAAAACCCAGTATTTTGTGAAATTAAAGGGGAGAAATTACTCAAATACGGAGTAGGACAGTAATTTTTTTTTCCTTTTTCTTTTTGCCGTTTTATTTTTTTGGTTATAAAAATTTGTTATACACTTATATCGAAGATCCTATACATGTTAATTGTGGCTACTCCTACTAGTTACAAACACGTGCAATAAGCCAAAAAAAAAAAAAAACTTGATGAAGGGAAAAATAAGTTGGTCAGGTTATTTATTTAGTAGGACAACTTAGTTTGTTTATCTTTTTTTGAAAAGATTTTATTCAGTGTACCTTTCAAGCAGTGATTACTTTTATATGTGTTAATAAATGTATGTATTGCATTTTAAATGACGCACACTTTATTTTTATGGACAAAATTATCCTTACTGCATTTTTGTGAACCAAAACTATCATTATATCATTATTATAACTCTGTTACTATCTAATGAGTTCTAACATTGATAACTCCATTGTTATTACCATACACCTACATCTACTATAACTTTTCTCATTTTTTAATTATCATTTTATTAAAATCATAATATAACAACTAATTTTTTGAATGATACTGGCTCTATTACAATGTAGTATCTGTTCATATACTTTCTCAACCTACTGAAACACAAAAAATCTATAACAACTAATTTAATTATATTTTAAGTAAATATTTATGAATGTTAAATTATATGCAAGTGTATATCATACATAAATTATTTGTGCATATATACCAATATAAGTGGGTGTTAGTTTTGATGATTTTATGATACCTGAGTCCATGGTATGACCATACAAAATGGGGTATGAAAATAATTTATTGTTGGAACCATAAGTTTCTATTTAGAGTCGGGAGAGAAGTTTTGTTGAAAAGTGTGGTGTAAGTTATTCCCTCTTTTGTCATGAATGTCTTCCTTTTGCCCATATCCATGGTCAAGGAAATTGAAAGGATGATGAATGGGTTTTGGTGGGGAGGTGAGGGTGAGGGTAGGAGAGGGATAAGATGGAGGGTTTGGGATCAATTGTGTGCTCCTAAAAAATGGGGTGGGTTGGACTTTCGTAGATAGAGGGAGTTTAATCTTGCTATGCTTAGTAAACAAGCTTGGAGATTGCTGCACAACCATTCTTCTCTTGTTTCCAGGGTTCTCAAGGCCAAATACTATCTCAATTGTTCCTTTTTGGAGGCCAAGAGTGGTAGTAATCCCTCCTTTAATTTATTTGAAAAAGTATTATGGAATCTCAAGAGATTATTAGAAAACATAATAGGTGGAGAGTTAGGGATAGACGTTTATCAGAATTTGAAAAGATCTTTGGCTTCTTGATGGTACCAATGCCGATGTGACCCCCCCCCCCCCCCCCCCCCAAATGCTTGGGATGAGGATATTATCCGGGACATTTTTAATACCAAGGACTCTAAGCTTATCACTAGTATCCCACTGTCAACAGATAGAATAGAAGATAAACTCATATGGGCTAGGGAGGATACGGGCCATTTCTGTGTTAAAAGTTGTTATAGAGCCCTTACATATGATCTTTCTACTTCAATCCCTCCTGCTTTAGTAGTGGTCTGGAATTTAAACATCCCCCTAAGGTGAAAGTTTTTTTTTTTTTTTTGGCAAGCTTGTTCCTCATGCCTTCCTATTGCTTGTCTGCTACAAGTCTACAACAGAAAAGGGTGGACTGCCCTACCTTGTGTCAAGTTTGTCATGAAGAACCTGAAACAATTCTCCATGCCCTGGTGACCTGTAAAAAGGCGAAGGAATGTTGGGTTAGAATGGCCAGATATATAAATCCTGAAGGATATTACTCTTTTACTGATTGGGTGCAAGATAATATAAATGTTCTTACCAAGAATGATTATGTTGTGCTGGAACTTATGGCTTGGCAAGAATGAAAAGGTGTGGAAGAATGTCTCTACCGTAACCTTGCAGATTATTGCAAGAATTTCAACTTATTTGAGAGATTGGAGGGATCTAACTAAAAATGAGGAACTAGCATATCTACTCAAGTCAATGTAATTATCAAATGGAAGAAGCCCCAACCAGGATGGTTTAAACTCAATGTCGATGTTGCAATTGATGCAAATAGTGGTAAAATGGGTTTTGGGGTGCATTCTCATAGATGATAATGGACATTTCAAGGCAGCCAAATGTACTCCATGTAATGGCGGACAGTTGCCCTTCGGGAAACACTCTCTTAACTCAAAACCTCTCATTTAGATCATGTTATTTTGGAAACTGATGCTTTAACTGTTGTTCAAAGTTTAAATTCTAGTTTAGGAAATTCCTCTTTTGATATGATTGTGTTAGATATCAAAGATAAGCTTAATTGGGTTTCCCATCTCTTTTGTTAAGTGATCTCTGTAAATCGGAGTGGATTACCTACCCTCCTCTCTTTCTTTGTCCATACTCTAGCACGAGAGTTCGTTTCTAAGACAAGTTGCGAGGAGTGGATTACCTACCCTTCTCTCTTTCTTTGTAATGTTCTTTCAGATAAATTTACTAATGAAGATTAGTCGTTTTGTTTTTCAAAATAAATAAATAAATACAATAAAGTCCAAATAAAGGAGTTTAAGACTAAAGTTGGACCCAATAGGACTCAACCAAGATCTTTCTATTAGAAGTTACAACAATACATCACCAGCCAGGGGTGATGTAATAGATTAGTGATGACGTCCAAAAGAAAATATGAGGCCCCTTTTATGTACAAGAATACACCATCAAGTGTATGCATTGCGTCTGCCATGTTTTCGCGTGGTATGTGGTTGATTTCAGCTCCATCTAATGGTATAGATTTGTCTACATGTTGCACATCCTTCAAATAAAAAGTTTAAATTTGTCTATAGTTTTTATGTGGGGGTGTTTCATATGAACTTGAATCTTATGAGATAAATTTAGAAGGAGAGCATAGTATCTCTTACTGACTAAATATCTAGGCTACAAATATAAGAATTAATCAAAGATTGTGGAATACATCTTGTCAAGACAAAGCACTCATTTTCTGAATTAAGAAAAAAAAAGTTAAAAATTTATAGGCCCAAAGGGACAGAGAAGTGCAGCATAATATTACCCAGGGATGTAGTAAAACACTGGCTTCCCAATAACAGCTCCACTCACAACTTTTTACCATCCTGTATAATAAAGAAGCTCATTACAAGCAGGAAAATTGAAGAATGGAGCTCATTATAAGCAATCAAATGATGGAACTATCATTGATAATTATTTAATTTGTAAAAATAAATAAAACAGCATTACAAATAGCAATTTACACCCACCCCACAGATATTTAACAGGAAATTCTGTGACATCTGAACAAAATCCCAAATCAAATGTTTAACAATATGATAAGATAACTGCATTTTTTGGTATGCTATGTTTGGGCGCGTTAATCTGACAGTTTTTTTTTTTTTCAATTTTTTTTTTCTTATTCCCTTTTTCATTCGCTCTCCTCTTCTCTTTTCTAGTCACACCTACAAAAACTCATCAAACTCTATACTTATTGAGGTTGTCCTAACAATACAAGTGCCATAGTCAGACGTAAAACAAACATAACATCTGTTGGGTAAAGGCCGGTAAAGCGTCAAGTCCGTCAATGAGTGACTAGGGAATGATTGGACGGAGACGGGTGAAGAGCCAAACCCAACACTCTGTCCGGTAAAGGGCCAAGTCAATCAATTAGTGACTATGGGATGGTTGGACAGAGTCAGATGAAGGGTCGAGTCTAGCACATTGTCTCTCAAAAATGCGATGGTGGTAAAAAAATGAGCACTTTTACTGCTAGTAGTAAGCGTTTGATCATAACAAGTTGTATCAGAAACAGGTCATGGGTTCGAGTCTGAGACATGTTGTGAATAATGAATTCTAAATTGCAGTACTAGGAAAGGGGTGCACTCACATTTTCAAACTCGTGTATTAAGGTGGGATCAACATTTTCCTCAGGCTCCCATGTTGCCTCCTCAATGTCTGACCACTTCACCAAGTACTCCATTTTCCCACTCTCCCCTTCCCTTCTCTCCAACACACACTCCGCCACTGCGTACTCCAGCCCGGCCTCGAAATCGCGCACCAAATCCTCGGCTACCAGCCAACCCTTCACCCATTCGTTGTCCTCTCCATCTTTCCATTTCACCAAATACTCAACGTTCTCGCCCTTGCCTCTCTTCTCCAGGATCTCCTGCACTTCAGAGAACTCAAAAATGGCGTCTTCTAGAACCCTAATTACATTCTCCAACCCTACTCTTCGTGCGAATTGCATCGGGTTTCCCTTCGGAGTTTGCTTCAGAATCATCCTTGCCAAGTCCAGAGGCGTCTGCCCTCTGTCGTCCTCCGCCTCGGGATCCGCTCCGAGCTCGATCAGCAGCTTCGCCACGCCGGGTCGGACATAGCCGGCGGCCATGTGGAGCGGCGTCAAGCCGCCGCGCTTGTCCCGGTAATTGATCTCCGCGCCCGCTTCCGCTAATAGCTTGACGCACTCCTCCGAGCCCAGCCCGGAAACGAAGAGCAGAGCCGTCCGGCCGTCCTCGTCGACGGCGTCCACGTCCCTCCCGTCGCCGGCCTCGACGAGCTTCCGGAGAGCGGATTCGTCGGCCTTCCTGGCGGCCGTCCACCACGGGGTCTCGTACTCGGCGACGACGTCCTTGGCAATGTAGTCGGACGGGACCCAGGTCGGGGAATGGTCGTCTTTCCACTCTATCAGGTACTCCATTCCCTTTCCGTCCTCGGTGGCCCTGCTGCCGATGATCTTGTTAACCTCGCCGTAAGTTTCATCTTCGTCGTAGTCCTCGAATCGCGGCGGAGCTAATCCCTCCTCCGCTTCTTGTTGGGGGGTCTGAAGGGCGGCGGAAAGAAGGAGGTTTTGGCGGGATTGGCGGAGGCGGAAGGGCAAAGAAGTTGGTGGAGGAGGGTGAGAGAGAGTGGGAAGTTGGGGTTTGAGTTTAAGGTGGGAGAGATGAGAAGCCGCGAGCAGAGCGTCCATTGCAATGGAGAGTGGGAATGGGAGTAGAGCTTCGTTTGGTTATTTTGGGTGGCCATCAACTACTCTCACTTTCTGCAACTCAATCCGTTCAGTTAGTAGGATTTCCAATGGATAAGCTTTCTTGTATTTGATCCCTCAATTTTTAATTTTTATATTTTAATTATTTTTAAACAAAAAAAAATGACATTTTATGCAAAATTTAATATAAAACTACTGGCTCAGAGTCAACAACGCTTCCACTGAGGCTGAGGCTCGATCTCATGACCTCCCACATGGGAGAGACCACTACATGTCATCTGAGTATAAGGTGCTTGACCTGTTAAAATTAATTAAATAGAGTTAATTTCTTTTTTTTTGGTCCTAGACTTATGGTGGTAAAGACAATTTTAGTCCTCCATACCAGATTTAGACAATTTATGGACACACTTATTGTGACGATGACAATTTTGGTCCTCCGTCAGCATTCCCGTTAGATGTCCGTTTGAGAGGGGGTATTTGCATCATTTCATGATATCTTTTTCTTGCAGCCTTCTAGAGTGTCGTTCTTAGCAGATTCCTGCACTCCAGTGTAAAAACTCGTGTTTCAATTCGCCGAAGCCCTAACAGGGAGGATAGAGATGGAAACGGGAAGGTTTAGAGGGATGAGCGAGGAACGGTTAACCAGGTGTTGAGAGAGTATGGCGTTGAGTTGCAGTCCCGCAATCTTAGCTAGCCACCAAGGACTTCCCTTCAGTCAAGTGATCCAATTTGCCGAAATCCAGGCCATTATCGAGCGTGTGAAGAACACAAGGAAGATCTACTTGGTTGATATCAATACACAGAGTAGAATTCAGTGGACGATTTTGATCCAAGCTCTGGCAGAGTAGCACGGCAGTTCCCCGATCGAGCGTATTAGGTTAACCGCAATCGGAGTGGCGGAGAGGGAGAAGATGGAAGAGTGTGGCAAGAGATTGCAGAGCTTCGTAGACTCCTTGAATCTGTTGTTTTGTTTCGATACAGTCTTCCTGTCAGATCTGAAAGATTTCAGGGGAGATTTGGTCCAAGTAGAAGATGAGGAAGTTGTGGCGGTGTTGGCAAACATCATGCTGAGAACAATGATCGCACGACCGGCCTATTGCCTCGACGGTCTAATGAGAGGAATTTGAGAGCTTAGGCCGGTGGTGATGGTGGTGGCGGAAGTGGAAGCGAACAATAACTCGTCGTCGTTCATTAACCGATTCGTGGATGCACTTTTCTTCTACGACGCATACTTCAATTGCTTGGAAGATTGCCTGGATCACGACGACCCGTGCAAAAGGACCATTGGGGGGCTCCATTTTGGGGAAGGGATCCGAAACATGGTGCAAGAAGGACACTCTAGAAGGGTGCAAGAAGGACACTCTAGAAGGCTGCAAGAAAGAGATATCATGAAATGACGCAAATACCCTCCTTTCAAACGGTCATCTAACGGAAATGCTGACGGAAGACTAAAATCGTCATCGTCACAATAAGTGTGTCCATAAATTGTCCAATTTTTTTATGGAGGTCTAAAATTGTCTTTGCCACCATAAGTCTAGGACCAAAAAAGGAATTAACTCTAATTAATACATCCCTTTAGTTTGTTTGTTTGTTTTTTTTTTTTTTTTTTTTTTTTTTTTTTTTAACATCAGGAGGAGGAGATACCCGAGTAATATATTTTCTTCTACCGATACTCCTCGGCACCCCTCCTACGGGGTATGGCATCTAAATTATCATGTACGCTTGTTAAATCATCATCAGTTTATGAGCACGGGGGGGCGGGGGGGGGGGGGTCGATAAGTACCTTTTTAATTCCTCGAAGGATTCTTGGCACTCGTCCGTCCAAGTGAATCATTCTCTTTATTTCATGGCCTCGAAGAAGGGTATTGTCTTATCAGCCGACTTGCTGAGGAAGCGGCTGAGGGTTGCCAGTCGTCCCGTTAACCTCTGAAGATCCTTGATTGAGCTGGGAGGCTGCATATCCATGATTGCTTTGACTTTCTCAGGGTTTAGTTCAATGCCTCTCTTGGATACCATATACTAGGGATGAACATCGGTCGGTTTCGATCGGTTATCGGTTAATAACCGAAATAACTGAAAATTCTACACCCTTCGCATAACCGACCGAAATAACCGACACACATCTCATAACCGAACCGACCAAAAACCGAAAATTTCGGTTGATTATGATCGGTTATTTTTAACCGAGCTTAAATACCTAACGGGCTGAAATTTCTTTAAAAACTTAGTCTAAACTCAAAAATTTAACCACTAAAAATAAATTACTAGTTAAAACAATCCATCACATGAAAATTTCAAAATCAAATGTCTAAAGTTGCAATGTCCTGTTGTCCACAGTCCAAACACAATATTAAAACTTAAAAGTACAAATTAGAAGATAATACTTAATAAGCAATTAAAATTACAACCCCAAGTTTCCAAATGATCTCAATGCCAAAATAAAAGTAGATTAAGTAATGCTCCAATTCCTCCAAATAGCTCACTGTCACTCTAAAGTAGAGTAATGCTCTAATTCCTTCAATGTGCCAAGTTTCAGACTTCCATAGACCATAGTGCTCACTGCTCATTGCTAAAGTGTATAATTTCAAACATTAATAACTAATAAAATGTAGCAAAATCTAAACAAAGCAAAATTCTAATATTCTATAGTGCTTAGTAGCTCATTATCATAGTAGTGCTCACTGCTCACTATCAAAGTGTCAATACGTAAACAAAGCAAAATTTAAAACACTAATAAAATTATATTTTACCTATTTCTTCAATTGATTTGGACTTCTTAATTCTTATGAGTCGATCACAACATCCAAACTAAGCTTTGTCAAATCTAAAAACACATCACAAATTACAATAAAGTTAAATCATAAAACATAACATATTATGATTTATGAAATATGAACTATAAAATAAATTGTTTGGTTTTCGAACAAAAAAAAAAATAGAAAATTTTCTCTTTTTTTGAGAAAAAAAAAAAAGTAAAAACAAGTTATTGTGACTCACGTGACAATGTGCACTTCGCGCTTCTTTTTTTTTTTTTTTAAAGAAACACGAAGTATTTTTTTTTCTATCTCAATAAAACGAATTTATTAGTCGTTTCTCATTATTCAGTACATATAATTGATTTTATTATAGCAAATATGTTAAAAATGAAATGCGATCAACACCATAATAAAACTTAAATTTTATTATGTATCACACACACACACACACACACACACACACACACACACACACACACACACACACACACACACACACACACACACACACACACACACACACACACACACACACACACACACACACACACACACACACACACACACATATATATATATATATATATATATATATATATATATATATATATATATATATATATATATATATATATAGAAAGGTTCCCATGCGATTGATTAAAGTGCGTGAGGTTTGTACTCAATGTGCGTGAGTATTGTGCTTAATGTGCCTGAGATTTGTACTAAATGTGCGTGGGTGTGTAATGTTAATGTGCGTGAGTTTGTACTTAAGGTGTGTGAGTCTTGTGTCTAAGATGCGTAAGTTGTGTACTTAATGTGCGTGAGTGTGTTCTTCATCCACTGTTGTGAAAATTATGCGCATCCACTGCTGCATTTTCTTCTTGTTTTTTGTTTCGAGGTGGTGGAGGAATAGATTTTGTCTTGTTTTTAACATAAAATCAGAACAACCATATGTGCGTTTACATATATCCATCCATTCACACACAATCAGAAAAGCTTCACCCACCTTCTCTTTCTGGTCTGCTTCCTTCTGAGCTCGTAATTCTGGACTCAAGTCACGCACATTAGGTACAAACTTCACGCACATTAAGCACAATACTCAGGCACATTAAGTACAAAACTCACGCACATTAACATTACACAATCACGCAATCTCAGGCACATTAAGCACGCGACTCACGCACATTAAGTATATAACTCACGCACATTAATCTACCGCACAACCGCACGGGAAGCCACAAATGCACCTGATCCCTTCCATATATATATATATATATATATATATATATATATATATATATATATATATATATATATATATATATATATATATATATATATAGTGTGTGTGTGTGTGTGTTTGCGTGTGCGTGTGTGTGTGTATGAATACTACTAACTCTATTACAAATTTATAACATATATTTTGATCATACGAGCAACAACTACAATTGGAACGATCGCTTCTGTTGCTGTGGGCAGAAATCACATAAGATTATGCAGATGTTTGTCTTTCAGGAACCCTTTTAGCAGCAACAATCTTCACGGACAGAAACACAAAGTTTGTAGGATCAGTCTTTCTGCTTCTCCAAGCCAAGAAGACCCACTGGCTCTTGTAACCATGAAGTGAAATTATAATTTTTTTTTTTAAATAACTTGTTGAGCCTTTGATGGCGATTCTTGACACATCCGTAACTCCGTAAGGAGTCAAAGAACCACAAGGAAAATGATAGTGTGGGAGAGGTGTGAAATACACCCAAACCCAACCAAAAGGCTCAAATAATATAAACCTTTCAATTAAAACTCGCAACATATTTTTACAAATGATGAAAATATGTTGCGAGAATTAATTGCAAGTTGTTTGCTAATCGTGAGTATTAATTACAAGTCAATCAAAAGCTCTAACTCCACATAGTTTGTATTTGTAAATCAAACAAATCAAAACAACAAAGTTATTACTTTCAACACAAATAAATTCAGTGTAAAAATTATATTTATGCAAATTTTTTTTTTTTAACATTTGTGGAGTACTATATACATATATAAATTTACAACATATACATATATACGGAGTATCTACTATTCTTACCTTTTTTTTTTTTTTTCGCATAGTTAGATTATATGCCACATCTTCCACATATTATATTTGTGCTTTGCTAAGATTATACAAGTTTGTGTTTTATGATCATAGTAAGCAATTTTGATGGAGGAGTCCACATCATTTATAGCCATGAAGTACACTTTGGCAGTCCGCGTGCTCACCCCACATCGGCTGTTAGCACGCGGATTGCCCACATAGGGCTAATCGGGACATCTTATCTCGGCCGACAGCTCCGCGTG